TGTGTCCATGGGCAAGTAGCGTAGCTTGTCTGAACTTCACTCTTGTGATTCAGAGACAGGACAACTGCATTCAATTCTACCCTAGACTCACATTTTGAGCAACTTGAACTTTTGCACTGGGAAGTTGTTCTTGCTTAATTTATAAATGGCGTAAAAATTACTCCTTAAGTAATTAAAATCTAGAGCACATTTATGTCACCTGAAATATGAGAGCTAGTCATGCCTTTTATGTTGTGTTCAATTCAGAAATTCTAGCAATCTTAGTATTGTGGTCTATGTACACATGATAGTGAATGATTGGGAAACATAATAGGAAAGAAAGGTAGTTGAATGACGAGACTAGATAGTAGTGCTCAGAGTGAGATCTTAATGTTAGGAAAAAAATATTAGCTATATCACAGAACGGCCATACGATATATCTATAGTACCAATTGAAGGAGGGGATAAGGGAAATGTTTCTTTAGGGATTTTTATTTATGTGCAATTCAGGGTTACATTTTTTTCCTTTACACTGTCCACAGATCCCCATAATTTCCCAGTGTCAGAAAGCTAAGATTCAAGATGATTAAATGATTTACTCAAAGAAAATACTGAAATAAGAACGTGAACTCAGACTTTTTTACTCTTTATCTTGTGCTTTTTTTCACAACAAATCTTTCTCTAGCTTCTTTGCTCATTGGACATACCTTCACCATTTACATGACAAATACCTACAAATAGTTTCAATGATTTATTTATGTTAATTTGTTTCATAAATGATTTGCTCACATAGATTTTGAGTGTTTGCTCTTCGCTAAGAACCCTGAAGCTGGCTGGGGTTTAGATATGCACGAGAAGGCGTGGTGCTTGGCACATAACTTTTGTTAAATGAACACCAACATGGTCTTTGCCTTCTCAGAGGTCAAATTGTCCTGGGCAAGAGTGAAATGATAACAGATCATTATCTAGAAAGTGAGAAGTTCTAAAATGTAAGTTTCATAAGGTCAGGGATCTTCATTTTGTTTGCTGATGTATCCCAAGAACCAAATAGTGTGACTGGGACTTAG